TTATTTGACAGAGAGAGAGAGAGCGAGAGCAGGAACACAAGCAGGGGGAGTGGGAGAGGGAGAAGCAGGCTTCCCACCGAGCAGGGAGCCCGATGCGGGACTCGACCCCAGGACCCTGGAATCATGACCCGAGCTGAAGGCAGACGTTTAACGACTGAGCCACCCAGGCACCCTGCTGTTAATAATTTCTAATTTAATTCTATTGTGGTCAGAAAATATACTTTGTATGACTTGAAGCCTTTTAAATGTATTGAACATTTGTTTTATGGCCCAGGTTGTAGTCTAGCTTGATAAATGTTCCATGAGCACTTCACAAAAAAATGTATTCTTCTGTGTTGGGTGGAATGTTCTTTCAATGTGTTCTTTCAAGTTAAGTTGGGTTAACTGACAGTGCTGTTTAAGTCTACCATATATTCACTGGTTTTCTATTTGCTTGTTCTATTGTTTATTGAGAGACAAGTATTGAAATCTCCAACCATAATTGTGAATTCATTTATTTCCTCCATAAAGTTCCCAGTTTTTGCTTCATGCATTTTGAAGCTCTGTTTTTACAGACATAAATGTTTAGAAATACTAATCTTCTTGATTAACTTAACACTTTTATCATTATAAAAATAAACTTCTTTAGTAACAGTTTTTGCTCTGAAATCTACTTTGATACTAATATAGTCATTCCAGCTTTCTTTTGACTGGTGTCAGCCTGGTGTATCTTTTTCCATTCTTTTAAGTGTTTTGTGTCTCTGTATTTAAAGTGCATGTCTTATAGACAGCATACAGCTGGGCCTTGCTTCTTCATCCAATCTCACAATCTCTAACTTGTAATTGGGGTGCTTAAACATTTACATTTAATGTACTAATACGGTTAGGTTTAAGTCTATCATCCTGATGTTTATTTTTTGGTCTCATCTATTCTTTGCTCCTTTTTTATCCCTTTTCTATCTTTGTTTAGATTGAGAATTTTTTTTTATTTCATGTTATCTCTTCTGTTGGCTTTTTAGCTGTAATTGTTATTTTAGTGGTTGCTTTAGGGTTTATTGCTTATAACCCTTGTTAGAAATATAAGCTTTATAATGGAGGGAATTGGTATATTTTGGTCTCTCTTTTATCCCTAGTGTTTTGAACAGTGCCTGGCACATGGAAGGCATTCAATAAATATTTGATCAATAAATGGATAAATGGAAAAGCCAAATTGTAGGTTCTGAGGCATAAGATTACAAAAAAAAAGCATACTAAAGCTCATTTACCTAAACATTCAGACAGATGTGATTACTGAAAACAGAACACAAAAACTCTAGACAGCATATAACAATATACATTATATAAAAGTAAATAATATTTACAGGTTCTGTACAAAAATATTAGGTCATACTAAAAATGAACCAAATACTGCATAGTACCAATGCCAATAATATAACCATATTTAGCCTATTTCCAAATCATAAAAGAACAAAGTAATCAAGTGAAACAAAGTTAGCTAAATGCAAATTAGGTTTGCTAATGAAAAAAGTATAAAAAGGGATATTATAAAAACATAAATAATTATCCCCTATACAAACTTCCAGATGTAATATAAAGCATGGTCACTATAGTTAATAATACTGTATTGAATATTTGAAAGTTGCGAGAATAGATTTTAAAAATCCTCATCACAGGAAGAAAAAAATTCTTGTTAAGTATGTATGGTGATGGATGTTAACTAGCCTTATTATGGTGATCATTTTGCAATATATATATAAATATCAAATAATTATGTTGTACACCTGAAATTATATGTCAATTACACCTCAGTAAAGAAAAAAATTTTAATATCCCCTTTAAAAATGAGTTTTTTAAGGACCAAAATGGTAACCAAAATTATATTGATAATACTCACTAAAAATCAATAACAAGCCTTCTTAAACTAAGCAATACATTCAGTTCTTGCTCAGAACTGAGTTTAGAGCAAAATATTACATCTAAAGATATTAAGACTATCTACTAAAGCTAGCATGCTCTATAAATTTTCTGTGGTAAATGAGAGACACAGAAACAGTTCTACTCTGCTCATTTCTTAAACCTCACAAACCATCTGGGTTTTATTGGCCTAAAAAAAACAATTTTCTCCTTGGTAGGTAGGGTGGATTTCATGAGGAATCTTAGCACTACTAGTAAAGTGCAATTCCAAAAAATCACTATAGTAAGAGAAATATATTTACATATATCTAAGAAATGAATTAAATACAACCCAGGACAGTAGCATGTATATAGACAGAAAAGAATACTATAGCCTCATCAAAGACTATTGGTCAAAAATCTACAATAAATCAAACTAAAGATCTTTCTATTCCTTTTGATTAGGTATTACCTGAGAGATTTCCTGTTGATAAACTGTAAAATGTTCCTTGCTGATCTGTGGGAGGTAGAATGAAGGTATGACTTCAGTGTCCACAAAGTCCAATCCCCATGTTTTTGTGAAGAAGTCAGATTCTCTTTTTGCTAATCTAGGATCATTTAATGCTGCTGGAAGGTTTACTTTGGAATGATATATAGTCCATCTATGTTGATCTGTAACTAGAGATGGGGCAACACATAAACTATTTGAATCACCTGCAAAAAGTAAACAAGAGAACTCTGTAGACTAAGTTCTACATTTGAAAGTACATCCTAGAAAAATGCTTAGTTTTACTCTATACAGAGTAGAAACAACTCTTCTGTACAAACATTTTAACGAAAATCAATCTGATTAATAACCTTCAGCTTTCAGCATCAATTGCCAAGGGAAGGAAAAACATAAATAAAATAAAGAATATGCAATATGCAAAATTTGAGAGTTATAGTTGCAGTGTGGGGTGGATGGTAAAGAAAGTCTTTCATTAATTCCTTTCCTTAATGTACAATTTCTCTTTCCTTTTTCAACAGCAAAATTCTTCTTCCTTTCTATTGTATATCTTCTATCCTTTAATACTCCAGATTTTTCACAAATACCTTTTTTCTCTTGTATTAAGGCAGACATGCCAGGTTCTAATACCCTTTGTTTGGCTTATAAACAGATGACAGAAATGCTGCTGTGGCATCAACCATAGAGGAAAGAAAAATATATAGTCATTCTTGTTATTCATGGTAGTTTTGTTCTATAAAGTCACTGCAACAATTAGCAAATACTGAACCACTGTTCCTAGGGGAAATACAGGGTTAGGTACCTTCAAGCCCCTGGTCACAACATTTTCATCAACCAACCAATACATAATCTTATTTTGTGTATGTTTCTGTTTAAAGACACCTTATTAAATATATACTGTTCATTCATTAACACTGAACTCATGGCTTATACCACTATAACTCGTAACTCATACCTGAATGAATTTTCTTCATAAGACACATACATTGCAGTCTTTTTGTACTTAGAAACACTAGAAAGCTCTCCAGCACTACATTTCGGAGACATTTTAAACAGCAATATCACCAATAAAAATCTCAAAAATGCAAAAAATGTGGCACTAAATAGACCACAGAAAGGACACTTGTTTAGAGCATGAGAGCTAAAACAAGAAGGCAGAGCATTGTCATGTTCAACCTTAGCTAGGGACATGTGCATTAGGCAATTCAAATTTTTCATTCCTCTGCATATGGCTGCAAATGACCACAAAAGTACCAGAAGTATTGATTTTGGAGTTACAAATAAGTTTTAGGGAGTAGACAAATTTGCAAACATGGAATTCATAAATAATGAGGCTTTACTATACTGTGTCTAACTAAAAAGCTTTAAATCAGTAGTTTCATTTTCAAAACTTTTTTTTTTCAGTTTAGCAAGTAACTTCTTCTATGGAAATGCATGAAAAGAACTATATTTCAATTTCCTAATCAACTTACTTCCAAATTACCTCTTTAGTTTAACACTGTAAAATTTACTCTTTCAGATACAGCTGACCCTTGAAAAACGGAAGGGTTTGAGACACAGACCCTCCCCTCTCTGTGAAGTCAAAAATCCACATATTTAAACTCTCCCCAAACGTTACTGATAGCCTACTATTGACGAGAAGCCCTTCCAAAAACTTAGTCAATTAACACATATTCTGTATGTTATATATATTATATACTGCATTCTTACATGAAAGTAAGCTAGAGGAAAGAAAATGTTACTAAGAAAACCATAAGGAAGAGAAAATACATTTATAGTACTGTATTTATTTAAAAAAAAAATAGCTGCATATAAGTGGGCCCATGCAGTTCAAACCCATGTTGTTCAAGGGTCAAATGTATATGGAATCTGACTACTCATTTAAAGATAATACAAATCCTCAGTAAAAATCCTCAACAACAAAGGCATTACCTGTGGGTTCCTTGGGACATACATCTGGCAGTGACTGCACAGGTCGAATGTGTTTTGTTGGGTCTACCTCTTTTTTAAAGAAAACATCACTGCTGCTTCCTTGAGGCACTGGTGAAGAACTGTGGCTTGAAGCCATTGCATAAAATCACCACTCAACTGAAAACAAGTAACAAGTAATAATCAAGCATTTAACACAAATCAAAATTCATCTATAAGTATTATGTATGCCTCAAACTTCCTTTGAAAAAGACACCTTATCCAAAATCCCTCAAGGTATAAGTACACAATTTGAATACTCACTATTAACTGTAAGAGTCACTCATAATATTTAGTTTACTAAGAAAGTTATTTGTCCTTGTTTGAAAAGTATTCTCCCCCAAGTGAAATATCCTTAGTCTTTTATCCAAAGTGGAAATAGATACCAAAGCTGTAACCAATATATATTAAAGATGAAAACATCTATTCATTCAACAAATATACAGTAATTATGCATTATAGCAAAATGGATAAGTGAATGGGCTTTTGAAGTCTGACTGCCTGGGTTCTTCACTTACCCGCAGTATAATCTTAAGGAAATTTACTTCACTTTTGTGTGCCTTACCTCATCTGTAAAAATGGAGAAGAGATCCCATTTCATAAACATTTTGTAAGATTAAATGGAAGGGATATATGTAAAGCATTTAAAACAATGCTCATCTCAAAGTTAGTGTTCATAAATGTTAGTTATCATTATGATTATTATTACTATGTGGACTGTCACTATATTAAATGATTATAAAAAAAGCAGGATTCTTCAAGGTGCCTACAATTACATTAAGTAATCAAAACAATCCAAACACTAAGGAAAACACAAGTTAACCTATGTCTACATTTTTTAATAAGTCCTGAAAGAATTTGTGGGGCAAAACAACATAATATAGGCTACAGTGTCAGGTAAAACTTTACAAATGAAGCAGTACATAACCTGGATACTGAAGAACATGTATTATCCTATTATTGGAGGGTAGATAATATTATGCTGCAGAGTATATCTATCAAATAGCAGGTATTCAATAAACATTTTTCAACAAAGGAATAAATATAAATAAACATAAACAGAAGTTTATGGCTGAAAGGGAACTTAGAGATCACCTAGTCTAAATGCAAGGCCCTGAAAGACTAGGTGGCTTACAAAGACACATGTGTTTTAACCAATTAAAAAAAGAAGAAGAAAAAAAAGCCTCGTAAGGAATTCTGGTGAATGCAATAAGAGTAAGAAATAAAGAGAGGAGACGTAAGGCTAAGAACGGTGACAAAAAGTTCATCTACTCTAACTGCCTCTAGTTTAGCACAAAGCTAAAACTTACATTTCCCAGACTTCTTTGAATATCTGTCACAGTCCTCCTAATGCAAAGGAAACACATCCAATTACACCACTCACTGAGACCATAAGAAACAAGCTGTTAAGAAAATGCACAAAGATAAATAACTTCCTCAAGGTCCCTGAACAGAAAGCAAACAATACCATACAAAAAGGTTAAGGGACATGGAATAATCATAAGACGTTGTGGAAACTGACATGGCTAGAGTAAAATGTTTGCATTGGGAAGTACTAACAAATCATCTTTTATTTACATACACACACACACAGAGTATGGCCAAATGAATTAGTCAGGGCCTTGGTTTGCAAGGCATCACTGGCCTGTTGCATTTACATCCATTCACATTAAGTGTATGGTTGTTTCTGTATAAAAGCATCATATATTTGAAAGAGAAAAAATATCTAAAGGATAGGAAATACTATATAATACATAATCCTGTATAGTAAATGTTAAGTAAGGACAATTCTAAATTTAACATTAAATCTATTTAACTTTTGTATTAATTTTATCAAATAAAATGGCTAAACTAAAAACATTTTGACATTTTAAAGAGGGAAGCTACAAATATTTGGAAAATCTATTTATGTTGAACGCCCACTGCTTGATGTCAGATAAATTAAATATTGATTCCAACAATAGTACACTACTATTTCAATTTATTTTTACCATCATGTCAGCAAGAAGAAATCCCAAGTGCCATCTCAGGAAGCCAGAAATACTTGAGGAGATGGGGACTTAAATAAAAACATTTCTAGACTCCTATAAATTATTTCACTTTCTGGGGGGCGGGGGGAGGTCACCTTATTTATTCCTTAAAGAATGTGAATTAGGAATATATGCTGATTTTTTTTTTCCTATACCTCTCCTAATTCTTATGAAAAGAGGGAAAATCTCTAGCTATAAAGAGATTATGTAAAATTAGGGGACTGCCTATATAGGTGAGTCCCAATTTTAAACCATTTGAATCTCCATTTCCTTCAACCATCCTAAGTTTACTAAGATTTCCCGACAGTAAGAACCAAACTTTGTATTTATGACCACATAAGTACGGTGCAGATACTTGGTATGTGCAATCACTGGTAATAAAACATTATGGATTTATTTATAAGGCATGGATGCATAAACAAATACGGCAAATTCCCATGGCCTCCAAACCAAACAATTTCATCAAAAAAATAATCTTTCATTGAAAAGCTAAAGAACAGAAATGATGAAGCATCCTAGCAAGAAAGTTTCAGTGTAACCTAAGAATAGTTCGTCTACCCAGAAAAAAAAAAAAATTAGCAAAAATAAAAACAAAAAACACAGAATAAGGGAAAAGGAAAGCTCTAAGCACTAAATGCAGGTAACCTCTGATTTTTAATACTCCCACTTGTAACTACATCTAGAAACAAATTTGGAATGTAATCAGTAATCACCTACAATAAGAATCTATAAGTCGCTCTACCATTCTTCACATAATAATCTTTTCATGATTGTAACAATACCATACTCAACTATTATCTTCTCTTGAAGCCTTCTCTGGTTTCTCACACTTAGTTACCCTTTATGTATTTTTTTTAAAGATTTTATTTATTTATGAGAGAGTGAGAGAGAGAGAGATAGCACTCATGCTAGCACAAGCCGGTGGGCGGGGGGGGGGCAGAGGGAGAGGAGAAGCAGACTCCCTACTGAGCAGGAAGCCCAATGACATGGGGCTCAGTCCCAGACCCTGCGATCATGACTTGAGCCCATGAGCTGAAGGCAAACGCTTAACCGACGGAGCCACCCAGGCGCCTCTATGTATTTCTATTTTGCAATAATCATACTGAAATTTTGGTCTTTATGTAGGTCTTCTCTATTAATAGACTATGAACTTCCTTATGTTTCCATTTTCCTGTGTATTCTATGTTCCTAATGCAATTCCTGGCACACAGACAGTATATAATAAATACTTTAAAGATGAATGAAATGGGTGGTGTGTAGAACAGATCAGAAGAGAGATGTTAGTTAGACAGCTACTGATAATCCTTAAGTGAATAGATAAGAGCATGCAGGGGTATGGGATGATAAGGAAAGAAACACATTCATTACAAAAGAATTTCCAAGGATGAGTAAAATCAGAAGCATGTGACTGTCTTTCTCCTAGCTAAAAATATCTTTTTATGTTAAAAGTTAGGTTAAAAGCTTCTAAGAAGGATTTGTAAAAAAGGACAAAGGATCAAGTTAAAGGGGTTCTCACTGGCCACATGGGGGACAATTTGAGCACTCAAAAAAAAAAAAAGCAACCTACTTGAGCGTAATCTACTAGATAAATAAAAATTGGCAAATATAGAGTGACACGTAGGGGAAGAGAAAGAGATGAGGAGGGCGCCTGGGTGGCTCAGTCGTTAAGCGTCTGCCTTCGGCTCAGGTCATGATCCCAGGGTCCTGGGATCGAGTCCCACATCGGGCTCCCTGCTCGGCAGGAAGCCTGCTTCTTGCTCTCCCACTCCCCCTGCTTGTGTTCCTGCTCTCGCTGTCTCTCTCTCTGTCAAATAAATAAATAAAAAATCTTTAAAAAAAAAAAAAAGAAAGAAAGAGATGGGGAAAAGGGGGTGGAGTGGGATAAAGAAAGGAAATGTCTTCTTTACAAAAGAAAGCCAGTAATAAATGTAGAAGGAATGATTCAATTAGAAAATCACCATTTTGTAACCCCAATGTAAAAACCAATTCAGGCAAAAATCATTGATGTATGCTAAAGTTATTAGGTGAAAGGTTGTTCAGAAAGAGAAAACTCACCTGGTGCCAAAGTGACCCCCACAGATTACTTAGCAATGCAAAGGGGAAAATATATCTTAAAAATCTGGCTGTCAGTACCTTAACTAAGTCATCAAAACTTGGCATCACTGACAACAGTATGACAACTTAATATTATGTGATTCATGAAATGATGATATAAAATAAACGCCATCACCTATGAAGCATTCTCACCAAAAATGCTTAAACCACTCTAATTAAGCCTCTAGACCAGGGTTAAGCTTTTTTGTCCTGTGGATTCCTTGGCAATCTGGTGAAGTCTATGGACCCCTTCCCAGAATAATGTTTATAATGCATAAAATACATTAGAGATTACAATGGACAACTGTACTTAAACTTTTTAAAATGCAATACAGTAACTTTTTGCTTCTCAGTTAATGCAAATCTTAATTTCTAAGCAATAAATGAACATAAATATTTCAAGGTACCTGCAACAAATTAACGTGACATGAAAATATTTGAAATTTCTACTGGTAACAAAGTCACAGGTAGTGCTAACACCCCTGTGAAGGATTACCTACATTCATAATTAAAGGAAATGCTAAAATCCAGTTAAAGCAGGATTTCTCCACCATGGCACCACTGCCAGTTTGAGCTGAATAATTGTTATTGGTTGTTCTCCCCCCATACATTGTAGGATCTTTAGATGTATCCCTGGCCTCTATCCACTTGATGCCAATAGCATCCTCTTCTCCTCCCCCCCACGCATAGTTATGACAACCAAAAATGTATCCAGACAAAGCCAAACATGCTGGAATGGGAGAAAAGAGGGGAGAGGATAAAATCACCCCAGGTGAGAACCACCAAGTGAAAATAAAGATGATCATCTGATAAATGAACATATGGACTGATCTAAGGTGCTAGTATCAATTCTTAAAATAAGTATTAATAAAGGTTCATTTCTTTTTTTCCTTAGCTAAAAGAAAAGAATAATCCTTAAACTGGGTGAAACCTAACAAAGGACTTTGGACTTGATCCACAAGACTGGTGAGTCATTATAGACTTTAATCTGTCACTCTAGGAGATTATCAGTACAGAGGGCCAAGTACAGAAACTAAGAGGACTTGAACATTTCTGAAGAAATAAAAGAAAGATATAGGGTTCCCTAGGTGGCTCAGTCAGTTAAGCATCTGACCCTTGATTTTGGCTTAGGTCATGATCTCATTTCTTTTTAGGTCATAGGTTCTGCTTCTCTCCTTCTCCCTTTGCCCCCTCCCCACCACCACTGTGCGCATGAGCGTGCCTGTTTTCTCTCTCTCTCTCTCTCTCTAAATAAATAAATAAATCCTTAAAAAGGAGGGGCAGGGCACCTGGGCAGCTCAGTCAGTTAGGCGTCTGACTGTTGATTTTCGCTGGGGTCATGGTCTCAGGGTTGTGGGATCAAGACCCATGTTGGGCTCCATGCTCGTGCACGGAGTCTGCTTAGCATTCTCTTTCTCCCTTTGCCTCTGCCCCTCCCCCTACTCATGCTCTTTCTCTCTCTAAAAATAAATACAATCTTTAAAAAGAACAAGAAAAAGAAAAAGAAAGATATAAAGAAAAGCTTGTGATAAAGAAGGAACATAACAAGAAGGTGAGAGAAATACCAATTCAGAATTCACAAATAAAAGGAAAAAAAAAAAAAACATCATTTAGGTTTGGCAACTAGGCAGTTGACCAGTCACATCAGAAACAATGTGAAGTCCAACAGTGGGGGTGGATGCCAGACTGCAAATGTTGGAGTGGAACCCACAACTGTATGATCAACTAATCTTTGACAAAGCAGGAAAGAATATCAAATAGAAAAACGGCAGTCTTTTCAATAAATGGTGTTGGAAAAAGTGGACAGCAACATGCAGAAGAAACACCAATTTCTTACACCATATACAAAAATAAATACAAAATGAAGGACCTAAATGTGAGATAGGAATCCATCAAAACCCTAGAGGAGAACACAGGCAGCAACCTCTTCAACCTTGGCCGCTGCAACTTCTCGCTAGAAATGCCTCTAAAGGGCAAGGGAAACAAAAGCAAAAATGAACTATTGGGACTTCATCAAAACAAAAAGCTTCTGCACAGCAATGGAAACAGTCAACAAAAGTAAAAGTCTACCTACTGAATGGGAGAAGATATCTACAAATGTCTTATCAGATAAAGGGCTAGTATCCAAAATCTATAAAGAACTTACCAAATTCAACATCCCAAAAATAAAGAATCCAGTTAAGAAATGGGCAGAAGACATAAACAGACATTTCTTCAAACAAGACATACAAATGGCTAACAAACACATGAAAAAGTGCTCAACATCACTTGTCATCAGGGAAATACAAATCAAAACCACAATGAGATACCACCTCACACCAGTCAGAATGGCTAAAATTAACAACTCAGGAAACGACAGATGTTGGCAAGGATGTGGAGAAAGGGGAACCCTCCTACTCTGTTAGTGGGAATGCAAACTGGTACAGCCACCCTGGAAGAGGTTCCTACAAAAAGTTAAAAATAGAACTACCCTATGACCCAGCAATTGCAGTACTAGGTATTTATCCAAAGGATACAAAAATAGTGATTAGAAGGGGCACATGCACCCCAATGTTTATAG